AAAGTCCTCTTATTCGATTAGAATAGCTCACGAGTTGGCGGTGTTTGGTGTTGACAGCCCTCGAGAAGCTTTGCGCGAAATTCAACAAACTTTATGTGTATGTAAAAATACAGCCAACCAAGATAGTCCCCGGATAAATACGAAATTGTAATCACCTAATAGGTTTTCAAAAATGCACGGATAACTTAACCGTTAAATTTTCAGTTAAATGTTCAAAATTCACACGTGACTCTCATCACGAGTGACGTCAACTAAGATTTTATCTTACTCCATCATATATTTGACGTTTCGTTAGGCCTTTCCGTACCATAACATAAACAAATCTGTATTGATTTTTTCACTAGACAGAATAAATTTAATTCACAAACTAAACAAAAATAAAACGAATAACTGATATTTCGCACGTTTGCAACTGCAGAACGAATTATTATTAACCTTTCAAATAAATACAATTATGACGTAATGAAGGGCGTCGAGAGTAGTAGATCAAATGATCTACGTAAACAGTTCTCAAGAATTATACGTATTCTTTAACGGCAATTTACTATTCGTTTTATGTTTGTTTGTTTTTATCATTATCGTCGAAATCAAAATAGAAGGAATCGTCCGCTTGGTGGCGCTCAGGTAAACGGAAAATGTCTTTTGATAACCCCGACGGGTTTCAAGTTTCCATGATTAGGAATATTCGTTATCTTAATTGTCTTAGATAAGGTTTAGGATTTTTATCGTTTGTCAGTAGCTTTGGCAACCTTATTGTGGTTTTCTTGAATTATTGATTGAAATTGATTTATTAATTCTAGCCAATCAGTTTTTTCAGGGACGGTAACAATTATTACTATTAGGTACATACTCCGCCAGAAACATTAACCACATTCGTTGAGGAACTCTTGGGACAATTTATTCATTTTACTTTATACCGCCCAGGGGGGGGGGCAATAAATGAAAGATTCTTCTAGTCGAGATATACACAATCAGTTTTGACGTCAGGCGTCGTCTGCCCTACCCAGCCAAGGTCATTCGTCTATTTGTCAAAGGAACAGACAGATTCGGAGTGCTGTGATTGTCTCCGCTGGTAGTGTACGGCTTCCATATTTTTTTTTTTGACGTTGTTAGCCAGAAGGTTAAAGGACTGCACACAGTCTAGCCGTGTGATATTGACCTCATGAATTTACTGAACGTTGTGCGAGACTTTAGAAAAAGGATAACGACGTCTAAAATGCATTGGGTTTGGGAGGCCTCAAAACTGTCTGGAAGGGGGAACGAGACAGACAGGTGTACCATTTCCACTCGTGTATCGTAAACAGGCACGAGAGAGATGGGAACGTATCAGATTACAGTAATTCAGATCAAAGTTCAGACATAAAAAAGAGGATATGTTTCAGTCTGCCAACTTACAGTGAGAATACTAATTTAGAAGTTAACGGAAAGTGTTATTAAAATTATTTGATTAATTATCAACCCTCCTCATGAACGAAGTTTTGTTAAGCTTCTAAAAGTAACCATTAATCAGGAGTTTTGATTAAAATGATGTTATAGGATATGATAATATAACGGTGTTTAGTAAAGTAAATTTTTTTTTATAGCATCTACAATTTTATTCAGTTTTTTTTTTTTTTATGCTAGACAAAGGATGTATTTTACTTGAACAAAAATTGCTTATTAAACGAAATGAGCCCCCCAGTGGCACAGCGGTATGTCCGCGGACTTACAACGCTAGAATCCGGGTTTCGATACCCGTGGTGGGCAGAGCACAGATAGCCCATTGTGTAGCTTTTTGCTTAATTACAAACAATAAAGGAAACGAATTATTTCAGTAGTATGTCAAATCACTGTTTTAAGGGTGCCATTTGTATAACATTCGCAAAAAGGTGTTGAAAATACAGATAATTCAACAAGAATAGAAAGCGTTACAATTTTATTTAGTTTCTGAGATGTTACTTGAGAGTTGCAATGCTTTAACTGCTTCTGTTATACAAGATCAGTATTATAAATCAACTCTACAATGCAGGACTTGAAAAAGTAGTGCTCCAGATAGGGGTGTGGGCCACATTTTTTCCACTGTTTTGAGCCATAGCACACAAATCATTTGTCCAAAACAAATGTTCCCAGGTTCTATCTGGCATCAGCTTCACATATTTTGCTACCAACTCCAGTTGAGACCTTATTTGCAGCACTAACCCTATGTGCATGGGTGGGGGGTCTGTGTGCATGTCACAAACTTTCACATTGTGACATTCAACATGGTATCACGTATGAGATGTCAAAGTTATCAGTTGTTTACTTTACTTTGCATTACTGATTTTGCGACATTTCGTGATGGGTGAGTGATAGGTGAGAGGAAACACTAGATACAGTATACAGGAATATTGAAAAAAACTGTAGGTGTGCATTTTGGAGGTTCTAGAGGTTATGCAGTGGACAAAGTATTTTTAGTCTTCAAGTGGACTTCAACTTGTCAGATCCTGAGTCAGACTGATGTTAGCAGTTCGTAGAGATAACTTCTTGTACACCAACTTGTCAGATCCTGAGTCAGACTGACGTTAGCAGTTCGTAGAGATAACTTCTTGTACACCAACTTGTCAGATCCTGAGTCAGACTGACGTTAGCAGTTCATAGAGATATCTTCCTGCACACCAACTTGTCAGATCCTGAGTCAGACTGACGTTAGCAGTTCATAGAGATATCTTCCTGCACACCAACTTGTCAGATCATGAGTCAGACTGACGTTAGCAGTTCATAGATATATCTTGAGTTAAACTATTTTAGTAACACATCTGATGTTTTGTGTGCAACAGACTCGTACATTTTACAGCATTTCGTGTGGTCAACATTCCTACTCTGTTGGACAGACCACATGCATGAACCCTTTTTTTGATTGATTATACATTAAACATTTATCTTTTGGGAGGTCCGTCTGGGTTTCTTTACCAAATTTTGTTTGAATTTCTTCATCCAATTCCACATAACAAACAATTCTGCTTTAGATATGTATAGATAACCATCAGAATTCTGCTTTAAATATCTATAGATAACCACCAGAATTCTGCTTTAAATATGCATAGATAACCACCAGAATTCTGCTTTAAATATGTATAGATAACCACCAGAATTCTGCTTTAAATATGTATAGATAACCACCAGAATTCTGCTTTGAATATCTATAGATAACCACCAGAATTCTGCTTTGAATATCTATAGATAACCACCAGATTTCTGCTTTAGATATGTAAAGATAACCACCAGAATTCTGCTTTAAATATGCATAGATAACCACCAGAATTCTGCTTTGAATATCTATAGATAACCACCAGAATTCTGCTTTGAATATCTATAGATAACCACCAGAATTCTGCTTTAAATATGCATAGATAACCACCAGAATTCTGACTTTGAATATCTATAGATAACCACAGAATTCT